AACATTTGCATTTGTGTCTCTGACACAGTTTTCTCACTGTACTGAAGCATGCTTTGGTTCACCTCAGAGTCATGCAGAGAATACAGAATTACCCCCCAACTTTGCATACAGCTCTTTGCAGCACTAAGTCCCTCTCCTGCTACCTTCCTCTTCAGCTGGCTGTGCAGCTGAACAGTGGATGCCACTGCCCAGGTTCCTCATCAGTGTGACTTAACCAAGGCTCAAAGAAAGCCTCTGAGTGTGGAACTGTTTCTGAACTGATGCTAAGTCCATTTAGGGGGGAAAATCAAGTAACATGTTAATTACCTCCTCTGCTCTGCTTTTCATATAGCAGAAAGTTAGCTTGGTTTAGCATGTTGTAGCAGGTGCCCAGGCTGCACAGACAGGGAACTAAAGCCTCAAGTCAGGCCATAACACACCTCAGGAGATGTTTTAGCACTTCTGTCATCAGCTAGCAATAAGCTAGGAAAGTATATCTGGTAGAAGAGCTGCTCATGACCACAGACCTCTCCAAATTGTGTTTGCCTATGGCAATTATGCATGTTTGGGGACAGCAAACATTAAAGCCAGCTGACTCTGCGATCACTGACTTCTACCTGCTCTGCACGGCTAAGTGTGGATGGAAAATAGTTTCATCAGCATTTATCTGCATCCTCTGCTAATTTTGTTTTGATCCATGTAACGATTAACAGAAGTGTAAATGCTTAATGCTGCTCAGCTGTATGACTAAAAGAGCAGCACAGAACAGCCAACAGCCTGTCTTGGAGCACTGTGAGCATCTCACTCCTTTTTCCTGAATGACTGCGTTTGTGCAACCAAGCATTCTAGTTTAGACTTTCGTTTAATTCAAATGCAATGGTTCTGTGGCTGGCTGCTCCACCAAGCCTCACCTGACCTACACAAGTGCTCCAGGGGACAGCAGCAACTGGCACTCTAGTAAGAAAAAATACAAATTCAAACCCAAAATAGTTAATGGGAAACTGGCTATATCTAAAATGAGCATGCAGTGTTCAGCTGTACTCTGAAAAAAAAAAAAAATGCTGAGTCTGTAGGTACTGTGCAGAGAACCCAGATGCATGACCAAGGCCATGGGTCCCAGTAGATATAGAAGTATTTCTGAAAGCAGTACAGCTGGGCACTGGGAACAGCTGTGCTTACACTGTTTTACTTACATAGCTCCTTGGCTCTTCATGATCCAGGGAACTGTCCCACCCCTTCCGGAGCAGATGGTAACAAGTCCTGCAAGGTGAAGCAGAGGCATGGACAGACTGAGCATTCTCCTGGCTGGCTGGTAAAGCCGTGCATCTAAGCAGGTCATCCAGCCATGAATGCTGGGTCAGCTGGCTTCACATCACAGATCTTCCTTTGGAAGAATCCCAGAAAATCAGAATACATCTTTACAAGAAGGCTGATACTTATTGTTTGAGATAGCCTTGATTTGCTACTGGTTAATGGTACAGGGTTGCTCTCTTAGTTATTTGCTATTCTTTGAGAGATTTAAGACTGTGCTTTGGTTTACTGTTTATACATGTTACAACAGTTGCATTTGTTCAGTATGGTTGTTTAGGTACTCACAGTGGTGGCACACATTTTTACAGCTTTTTTTTTTTTTTTTTTTTTCAAGTGCTAAAGTCTACACTGAGTGCTTTTCAGATCTTGATATATTAAGTGGTCCTTAACACGGATACAGAGAGAATTACTAGGTTGTGAGGAGGCACTGTGTCCAAAATATTACCATTCAATATACAGTTAAAATTCACTATTCTTATATGAATGAATGAAGTACCCTATTTATTGATAAGGCCAAGAGTATAATAGCATCACAGAATCATTCAGGTTGGAAAAGATCCTTGGGATCATCGAGTCCAACCATCAGCCCTACTCTACAAAGCTCTCCCTTACACCATATCCCCCAGCATCTCATCCAAACAACCCTTAAAGACATCTAGGGATGGGGACTCCACCACCTTCCTGGGCAGCCTATCCCACTAACCACTCTTTCTGTGAAAATTTTTTTCCTAATGTCCAGTCTAAATGTCCTCTGTCGCAGTTTAAAGTCGTTCCCCCTTGTTCTGTCACTAATTACCTGTGAGAAGAGACCAGCACCAACCTCTCTACAATGTCCTTTCAGGTAGCTGTAGAGAGTGACGAGGTCTCCCCTCAGCCTTCTCTTCCTCAAACAACAGTCCCAGCTCCCTCAATCTCTCCTCATAGGATTTGTTCTCCAGGCCCTTCATCAGCTTCACTGCCCTCCTCTGCACTCACTCCAGCACCTCGATATCTCTCTCGTATTGAGGTGCCCAAAACTGGACACAATACTCCAGGTGTGGCCTCACCAGTGCAGAGTACAAGGGGACTGTCACCTCCCTCCTTCTGCTGGTCACACTATTTCTAATACAAGCCAGGATGCCGCTGACTTTCTTGGCCACCTGGGCACACTGTCGGCTCATATTCAGTTGCTTGTCAACCAGAACCCCCAGATCCTTTTCTTCCAGACAGCTCCAGCCACTCCTCCCCAGACCTGTAGTGATGCATGGGGTGGCTGTGGCCCAAGTGCAGGACCTGGAACTTGGTCTTGAAGCTCATCCCATTAACACTGGCCCACCGATCCAATCTATCCAAGTCTCTCTGTAGAGCCTCCCTATCTTCATGCAGATCGACACTCCCGCTTAACTTGGTGTCATCTGAAAATTTACTAATGATACACTCTATGTCCTTATCAAGATCATCAATAAAGATGTTGAACAGAAATAGTCCCAACACTGAGCCCTGAGTACTCATTGGCTTCCGATTAGTGACCAGTGGGTCACTGCTGTGAAGTATACTGTGTAGAAATAAAAGAGGAGATGCTGACACTTAAGTGGAGTTCAGTAGGCTGGGTAGCATAGCTGAGCACAAGTGGTGATCCCCGCAGCTCCCTCACCCTGAGCCTGGCCTTCAGAGCTTAGTGCTGGGCAAAACTGTCTCCAGATAAACAGTTACCTCCCTCTCAGGTAGCGTATAGAGCAAAGTAGATACCCCTGGCACAAAAATCTCATTTCCAATAAATATTTGCTTATGAGTTGCATACCCTTTGGGATGTAACACTCTACTGACTAGTTGGGCCCCATGGTCTTTGCTCTCTGTTTGAAATGGAGAGATGTGGACATATGCACGCAATGTCCAAGAGAACTTGCTTCATCAGCATTCAGCCTTGTACTTCTAGGTAATATGTCTTTTAAGCCATGTAATGTTTAACAGAGAAAAACAGCAGTACGAGTAAAGCAGCAAGAAACAGCACAACCCACATGAGAAGACCCTTCTGAATGTAATGTAAGTACCCAGTTATCTTTGCTTTAATGATTTTGATGTAGCTGTATGGCATTTAGATAGAGAGTCATGAAACACATCTGCTTTCAATGGTGAAACCTGGTTTCTAAGCACTTGAATGACAGCAGAACTTAATTTCAAGAAATACTGAATAGCAAATTGTGGGGTTACATTATAGCAGCTCCACAGAGTATCACTCTGCCCTGAATATTTATCCCAAATAGCTCTTTCACATCTAGAAGAAATCTATCTCATTAACAAGGGGGAAGTATTCTGACTATGCAAATGTCAATCATACTTGTTCCCTTATTGTTCCCTAAAGCTTACAACCATGTAACAGAAACCGAGGTGAATGAGCTTATTTACTCTAACATGATCCAGGCAGGATTCTCAACTTGATTTTGCTATGCCAACCTCTTCTGTATATCCCAATTTACTCAGATCTCACAGAGCAAAGCTACAGAAAGACAAGCTGGTTCCTTTTCAGCCAAATCTTGGTGGTCAGATTGCTGACATAGAGTGGGGAAAACCCCAATAAAATTCTTATCTGCCCCGCTGAACCCATGTCTCTGAATGCCTGTGCCATTGACTGTGGGCTGAGCAGATAACTTATGTGATCTTCTTCCCTGAAGGTGTTCTGCCTCAAGTAATTGAAGGCTATTTGGAATTGCTTTTTCAGTCATTAATAAAATTTTTAATTCGAGTAGCTCTTACTTGTTTTCTAACAGGTTAAACATCCTAGACACCACAAATCATCCCAACATGTTCTTGGTCTAATCTGTAAAAGAAAAAGCAATACACACACACAAAAAGTGGCCACAGTTATCAGAAATGACCAAGGTGACAGTCTCTCTGATGAGCACTCCTCTGGCCACAGAGCTATTTGCCTTCTGAAAGGAGGCTTTCCTACTGATAGAAAGTTTGGAATGACAGGAGGGGCCAAGCCCACATCAGTGATCTCACCCTCCCAGGACCAGGATGGGGAGGGTACACACATAAAGGAATCCTTCTGTAAGACATATCTTTCATGAGTGGTTGTTTAAAATAAAGCAACATTTTCTGATCTAATCACATATTGAAGCAGAACATTTTTACCTCTTGTGATTAGTCACTTTGTATATTAAAGTGAGTCAGGAACATTAGAAAGAACACCACTTTTGAGCATGGCAATCTTGTATTGTTTTCCATTGACACAGCACTGTCATTTGACGTCAGACTCATTCAATCACTAACAGCATAATAATCCTGAGAGTTCTTAGAGATAAACATAAAAGAACTGAGTTGCTCCCAGTGTGCTGTCTCATTATAAAATAGATTTACACAGATACAAAAAAAAACAAAAAACAAAGCAAACCCAAACCAAAACAACACAACCCCCCTTGCCTTTTCACTTGTTCTTTCCCTTTAACTCTTGTTTTTCTTTAATAGTCACATTTCTTTCTCTAGTAACAAGGGGATTTTGTAGTTGGAGTAAAGCAGAACCGAAGTGGGCAGAAATGGATAGGAATTACAAATAAACTCAGAAGCATGAGGATTTAAAAAACACATCCATAGTAAAGGAGCAGGTTAGGAGATAACAGTGATAGCTGTTGAAGGTAGTAGCAGATAGAAATAAAAGATGAGATGTTGACACATCTGACCTCCAGCATCCAAGATCATTTCATTCTTTGTCCACACAGTAGCTGTGAAGAATGATGAAGGCCACCCTTCCGCTGTGCTTGCTAGTGGCCATGTTTCACCTCACTGTCCACAGCCTGACCCAGACTGACCACCACAATGGTGAGACCAAGGCAATTGACCCTGAGGACCAGCATCCCCATGAGAGAGATCCTCTTGAGTCCTGCCAACAGGTAGTCCCCAGCAACACAGACTTTGCCTTCCGGTTTTACAGGCAAGCAACCACGCAAGAACCTGGCAAGAACATTTTCTTTTCCCCAGTTAGCATCTCCACTGCCTTTGCCCTGCTGGCCCTGGGCTCCAGAGCCACCAGCCAGGCTCAGGTGCTGGAAGGGCTGGCCTTTAACCTCAGTGACACCCGGGAGGAGGAAATACACAACGGCTTTCGTCATCTCCTCCTCTTGCTGAACCGCCCTGGCAGCCAGGTGCAACTGATCATGGGCAACACCCTGTTCATGGACAAACACCTGAAGCCACTGAAAACATTTCTGAAGGACATTAAAAAACTGTACAAAGGAAAAGTTTTTTCTAGTAACTTCCAAAATTCCACTGAAGCTAAAAAAGAGATCAATGATCATATAAAGAACAAAACCCATGGGAATATAAACCAAATATTTAAAGACCTTGATCCAAACACTCTAATGGTAATTGTTAATTACATTTATTTCAAAGGTAAGTTACTTCCTGCAGTATCTTGGTTTCACCTGCACTAAAACAAATACCCTAGATTATTTTTGAATTATTTTTTTTTCAAAGAAACTCCAGTGTTAAGATTAGGCTATTATGTTAAGGAACACTGAAATTTCTCACACATTGAAACCTCTTCCACAACTAAATTTCTCTATCATATATTTAGGCTTCTATGCATAGAAGTTCATTTATTTGCAATCTTCAAGTTTCAGGGAATTGCCAGAGCACAACAGATTTATGTATTTCTAAATTTTTCTGTCAGATTTTATCTACTTATTATTATAGAAATTAAAATGTCTTTGAACACTGTATGAAGTAGAAAAATAAATTCAAAAGATGCAGATTAACAAATATTGACAAACACTGTAATTTACTTACAATCCATCCTTGCTAAATGGGTAGGTACCTCTGGAGTTGGAGTCTAAATGTTCTACAGCTTGTCATCACATTATACATATTCCAAGAGGTACTTGCAAATGCACTGCTTTGGCAATGATTAACTTCCTCTTAGACGCTTTATCCATTTGTAGCAGCATGCAAGACATACATGAAATTTACCACCCAGAAAGCCATGTTTGGAAATAGAACTTTCAGCAAAACAGATTTTATTTCAAGAACTTTATTAAATTTGGGTACCCTAGTCTCAGGTGCCTTAGTCTGAGGCATTTCTTTATGATACCAGAGTATATTTTTTTTTTTTTACTAAGGATGCAGGAAGGACAGGTCAAATTTATAAAGTAACCAGAGTACTCTTTAATATACATTAATTTTTCAATTTATTTTATTTCTATTCAATATTTATTAAAAAAGAAAACATACAGGTTTTTTTCAGTGAATGACCTTTTTTAATACAAAACAAAATATCATAGAAAATTCAGTTAAATAAACGTCAAGAGAAAGTCCTTTTGAAGATTAAAGCCCTTGAAACCCTGTTCCATTTACCATAATACAGCTATGATCAGGCCCAAAAGTTCAAGTTGTTCCTGCATGTAAGCTTTTACTCAGTGCTACAAGATAAAGAACATATGAAAAAGCATGGAAGGACCTTAACATACCTTTTAAAAGGCAGACAACTGCTGTGGAACTTGCTTTACAAGCAATATTCTGAAACTGAAAGTAACTTACTGGATCCTGGTCAGCTTTCATTTTCTTCAGCAAAGGATAATGAAGTTACTTCATTTAATTTATCTGACTTAGAAAACTGTTGTACAAGTCTGTATAGAATTTAACCTGAAATATTTAGTTGTTACTGAACACACTACAGCAAAGATGACAGGGGCAAGATCCTTAATAAACTTGGAATACCTTTGATCTTCAAGTATGAGTGTAAAACTTCAGATATGGGTTTATCTGGTGTGCATTGGTTTGAACTATATTAATTTATCCTCCTTGAATTAAGCATTCAACTGCAATCTTTCTCTTTTGGTTTTAAGCCTACTGGGAAAATCCTTTCAATATTAAGGGGACTCACAAGGATTATTTCCATGTGAATGCGAAGACCTCAGTTGAAGTGAAGATGATGACTCGAGATGGATTTTATAAAACATACTCTGACAGGAAACTGTCTTGTGAGGTGGTGCAGATTCCTTACAAGGGAGATGTTGCAGCATTGTTTATCCTGCCCAATGAAGGAAAAATGAAACAGTTGGAAGATGCTCTGACAAAAGACACTTTGTCTAAATGGGAAAAATCACTCAAAAGGAGGTAAGTATAGAATTTTGATTTGGTGATTCAAGGTAGTCATAATCCAAAGTCTGAATACTATGATCAGGTTTTACAATTACTAGCCTTTGTTGTTGATTGGAGATTTAAGCAATGGAATAGATATAAAGGGACAGAGAATTATTTGATAATTTCAGTAAAAAATAGAGTCAGCATTGCCTTGTGATGAAGGAAGATATCTGTAAGTTGGGAAATTTAATTTTTTTCACCACACATCTAGTTGACGTTAAGTGTCTCCGTTTCCCTTGTCTCAAGCACAATGTGTTGAGACTGGTAAGACTGCAACATAGTAATCAGATCCCTCAGAGGGAATGGAATATGAATTACAAAAGAAAAAACCTTCAAGGCTAGAAAGAGAACACAAACTTAGTTCCCAAAATGCTGGCAGCACTGCTGCTTGCTCTCCCATCAAATGACTATCTTGCAGAATCCTACAAGAAAGCCCAGCGGATGTCGTTCTCCTTTCCCATCCTCCAGACCATCGCCTTCCCATCTTCTTTTTTTGCCATATTTTTCAGACGAAAAGACTAACATTTTAGCACAGAAGAACCACCAGCAGGTTGGGAGTCTTCAGCCTAAGACATGCTTTGATTACAATAACTTCCATAAATTTCTTGTGAATTAACAGGAGGATAGAAGTCTATATTCCAAAACTATCAATTTTGGGTACCTATGACTTAAAGAAGACGTTCATGAATCTGGGTGTAACTGATGTGTTTTCTGATCGGGCTGATCTGTCTGGAATCACAGGAAAGCCTGATGTGAAGGTTTCAAAAGTAAGTTTGTCAGCAGAAACAATGGTCAGTGGATCCCTCAATAGTCAATTGTCTTGCCCTAAGCTAAGTTGTGAAATTTTACTTATTGCTAGGGGTGGCTAATACTCTGAACTAAAACGTTTAACTAATAAAGTAACTTTAAACTCTCTCAGGCTTCATCAAGATCTGGAGATAAGGGTAATGTCTTCAGTCTGAGAGGCAAATGTTGGGAGGGTTGTAGCATTTATCCCAGAAACTAAACACAGCCCAGTTTCTACACGTGGATATCTGTGTTGGGGATGCCTTGCACCAGCATATCTAGGAGAAAAAGTGTTTTTTTTTCTATCAAGTGCATTCTATAATTTTAAAGGATTTTAAAACTTCTGCTGCCATTGAAGGCCCTTATGAGTGCTAATCATGTAAGATGGACCAGAATTGAGGAAAACATCCCATTTCCTGAAAATAGTGTGAAGAGAAACAGATAAAGTGAAGACAAAGGCTAGCATTCTTACAGCCGTTCTGAAAGCAGCAATTACAATGTTCTAACATTTTTGGGCTAAAAATGCCCAACAATAATAATTTAAAAAAAATAGTATCAAGGCTGAATTTCTACTGGCTAAACTGTAATGCAAGTGCTATTAGGGATACATACAGAGCATAACTTTCTTTCCCTCTGAAACTGTCATTCCTTATGAATTTGCTTGAATATTCTACTTTTAACTAATTCCACACAGTGTGCAGTCCCTAAGGTCTGTGTTGGCTACACTTGCATTGAGGAACTCTGAATGTGAGAATACTTGCTTATTGAGAAAGCATTGCTAAAAAAATGACCACGGGCTATAGTGGCCTTCTTACGGTTCCTGGCCTACCAGCAATTTTTTTTGAAAGGCAGTAGCTGAATTAACTTTGTGATAATCTTAATCATTTCACACCTCGTCCTCCACATAAATTCATTCTTGCTGTATTTCATTGTAGGCTGCTCACAAGGCCCTGCTGAAGATTCACGAGAACGGCACAGAGGTTGCAGCAGTCACTGGCACAGATTTTCTTCCTCATTCTGTTCCTCCTGTTGTTAAATTCAACCGTCCCTTTTTGCTATTGATTGTTGACCAATATACTCAGAGCATCCTCTTCATGGGAAAAATTGTAAACCCAACTGAAAAATGACTGATCAGTGGCTGGTCTTACTGATTTGAATTGCATTGATGCAATGATAGTTCAATGTGATTAAAATTATATCAAAACAGATACTTTCTTTTTCCAAAGAAATGAGGCAAGGGTGTGTTCATTCTTCAAAACACTGTTCTTGCTTCCTGCTCCAGTAGAAAGTAACTAGTGAGATACACCTATTCATGAATTATGAAGAATGTTATAGATCAGCCTTTTAATGGCCAGTGTATGCCATCAAAACAAGGTAAGTATCCAGCTGAAAGAATCAGTTTAAAATATTTTAAGTAAATAAAGATTGAACAAAGAGGCCACTCTTGATTTGTGGGTAGGACGGAAAGAAAATGCTGAGGTCTGCTCCAGCTGCTGCCAGGTCTCACCAGGTCCTGGTGCTGGAGGGCTGACACGTGGAAATTTAAAATACAAATGCAGTCCACTCAGGTTCTTCTCTTCCACGTGGATGTCATTGATGGAGAAATGTCGGGTTGGATTTCCATGAGGCACTTCTTGCTCACCTCTCTGAGGACGTCTATGCCAATTTGACAACTCTCTCCTAACACAGCCTTATGGATCCAAGGCAGTGTCAAAACCCAGAGTCAAGGCTTGATACTTGCGAGGATCTAGGGCACCAAGAAAAGGGATGTGTGCCGACAGAAATACAGCCAGTCTGATGTAGTGTCAGCCTGATTCCCTCCCTGTTCCATTTTATGGGAGCAACAGCAGATGTTTAACGGTGATAAATGTATTTAATACTGCTCAGGGGTACAGCAGCATAAACTCTGGTTAAAAAAACCTGTACAATTTCTTTAAATAGATCAGGCTATGTGATCAGGAATTTAATTTTATTTTAATCAGAAGTTTGAGTCTATAGGGTCATTAGATCAACTTGATAATAGAGTAATTAGTACCTAAACAGTCCAGACTCTCCAAGGCAACGGGATACCTGCAGACACCAATCTGTGCAGTTAAAGCATTTGCCTTGGGTACAGGATATTCAGGAATATTCATGTTCAGACCCCTTCCTCTCCTGAGGGCAAGCAATCCCATACCTCCAACAACCTAAACTCCAGGCTGGTCAGGCTAACCTCTGTGAAAGGAGAGCTAACATTGGACCTGGATTGCTGGTAAGGATATTTGCCTGGAAGATGGAAATCCAGGTCTGCCCTTCCCTGGATGGAGAATGGATTTGGTAGATAAATCCTAATGAATTCTCTGCAGACTACACTGTTGAGTGAGTGGTGGCTGAAGCAATGATATCTTGTGACACTGATAGGGTTTCTAGGAAAAGGAAGTCATAGCTTCAGACTACACACTGGGGAAGTCAGCCAGGCCTAGGCACTTTGAAAGTCAAGTCTTTTGCCATACTCTCAATTATGACATTCAGAGCTGATGACATCCACCCACATTGTGTTGGACTCTTTGAGTCTTCCTTTAAGGTAACAAACTTTCCCTAAACATCCTATGTGTAAGCAGTGGCTACATCAGAGCTGGGAATATTTCAGTTGTCTGGACACACAAACAGTGCTACTGGCATTGCTTTATAGATTTAATCTTGTGTTTCATTGACAAACAGAAGTTCAGAAGGGATAGAGTATGAATATCTGGAAGATGTAAAACAAATATTAAGATTAGTTATATTCCCAGAGTTTACAACTATGCTAGTAAATAAAGTGCTTCAAGGTCTGTTCTTTAGCCATGAGGTCAACTGGCTTATCTCAGCTTGTATCCATGTTGCTTCACTCTGACCTTGCAAGACATCTGGGCTGCTTATTGGAAATATCCCCTGGCCTGTGCTAACTCCAAAAACATGCTTAGCCCTTGTTTGGAAAAATTGTAGATGGCATGAGAAGTACCTGTGTCTGAAGCTGTACTGAAAATGTAAGAATATGAATGACTCCAGGTTGATGGCCAGGACTGTGCCCCAGCACTGCTCAACGTACCAGTACAAATAGAGCCAGAGTGACCAACTGAAGTGTGGGAAACTATTCCTCTGTCATTCAGCCCTATACCCTCTCTCTCTGCTGGTCATCTGCCTTTATTTGAATGACACTAAATTCTAGGTCATGCTGATAAGCTTTCACCAGCCGTTTCCCAAAAATGAGGGAACTAGAGACCTTTGCCCTTCTGTGGAATAAGGTTAGGCAGTTCAGGAAAAACCCTTCAAACTACTGCAAGTCACAAACTGTGAGACTCCCGTGGATGTGTTTTGGAGGTTTCTTTTGATCAGTCCTGTGTATTTGCTGTAACAGCAACAGTGCATGCTTATTTTCAAAAGGCTACTCTTCATTAAGGATTTGTGCTAGTCCTCAGATGAGACAGCAATGCTTTGATGATGCAGATACTTAAAACACTTCACAGCTGAGCACATAAAAACTATCATGAAGTGTAAAATATGCAAGTTTAATTCTATTTCATTGTAATATAAATGAACTTAAATGCAATTTAAAATGTGATACATCTTACTGTGGAGGCATAGCCACTGTCCATTGCCCATGTCCCCTCTCCTCAAAAATACTGAAATCACGATTTTTGTAATGAACCAGAAAGTCTGTCACCACTTCAGGGACCTGACAGTTTTTTCTACCGTTGTGCAAGCTGTTTGCTAGGTCCTGTCCTGACTCTGCAAAGTGGAATGACTGGCAGAAAAAGGCCCTTGGGGAGTCTCCCTTGCAGCTGGATCCCCCCGTTGAGAAAGGCTCAGCACCCAAAGCCAATGTCATGCAGCTCTCTTTCCAATGACTTCACAGAGGCAGGCAGAGATGGAGGTGATGAAGTGCACAGTTAATCTGACAGCGATGTTAAATAAAGCAGACTATGACTGCAGTAATACCATTGCCAAACTAGTGCCACACCAGAGAGATGTATCCAGATCCCGTGTGATCAATTCATTCTCATAGATAGAGCTAGACCAAAGGGAAACTCATATTTTTTCACTGTTAAAAACTTTTAGGAATGGTTTTTCTGACAGATCAGAAAGACAAATGTTGCTGCAACCTAATAAAGTAATAATTATAGAAGTTCTCAGAGGGCCAGATGGATGAATTTCAGAGTTGTTTCTGGCATGGTACCCAGATATGAAGTCTATTTACAATTAGATCAAGACACCTTTAATTTGCTTTACTTTATCCATGACTGTGTGCAGTGATCCTTTGTTGCTCTTGAGCCTGTTCTCCTTCGCTGTCAACAGTCCAGTGGCCATAAGCAGAATAAGAAAACTAAGTGCTGCAGGACCAGCATCACTGTGAGGGAGATAATTTTAGGTCCTGCCAAGGGATAGTCCCCAGCAACACAGACTTTTCCTTTGAGTTTTACAGGCAAAGAGAACACTCTGCCCAAGAACTTGGCAAGAGTGTTTTCTTCTCCCTGGTCAACATCTCTGATGCCTTTGCCCTGCTGGCCCTGGGGTCCAGAGCCACCAGCCACGTTCAGGTGCTGGAAGAGCTGACCTTTAACCTCCCTGACATTTGGGGGGACCCGTCACTTTCCTTTACTGTCATTTATTTTAATTCTGGGACTTATACATGCCATTCCTAAGTTCTGGTACCATCATACTTACTTAAGGTTTTTGGTCTATAGTTTTGACTACTTGAATTTGATGCATCTTTTGGAAAAAGAAATTCAAGTTAAAATTAAATTTGAGACCAAAATTTTGGTTTTGCAGTCTATCTACTATTACTTGTTTTTCTTGTTTTATTCTAGGGAGTTTTAAAAATCTTGTGACAACTAGTTTTGAAAAGCCTTGGCAGTGTCAAGCATGTCTAAAATTCCAGTGTCTTCATCTGGGAACTTTACAGAAAATATATCAGTAAAACCTGAGATGAGCTCTCAGTGAGAGATTACCCATCTTGAACATTAACATGCTGGCTGATTGACTCCAATAGAATTCACATCAGGCCTTAAGTGCTTGTATGCTCTTGGAAACACATTTTCTTTCAGTGCTGGGAGATTACGTATGGACAAAGCAGAAAATGTAAAATACTGTTTTCTGCAAACAGATAAAAATTACCATCTGAGCTGAAATGTCTGTTATGAGATATGGAATCACACCCTGGTAATAAAAGAACTTTATTTCCTTCTGAAGTATAACACAGAAGAAGAAAATAATAAGATTATTTGATTCTGCTTATACAGCTTTCATCTAGTATACTACGAGTTCATATAAAATTTTAGTTTAGAGATTCTTATTGCATTGGTGAAAGAAGCTAAAAAGGTCTAGTTTTCATTCCCAGTTCCGTCACAGACTTTTTGCTTAGTGTTAAACTTTTTTCTTTCTGTCAGTAATGCTGTTTTTTGAAATGGAGCCAGAAGCTCTTTCCTTATCCAAAGAGAAAAGGATGAATATTTGTACGACATACAGAGCACAGTTGGGATGCCCTTTACAGAAAGAGATAAAAATACCTGATTTTTATTCTAGTTACAGTAATTTTGTAATGATGCCAATCTCCTGATTTTAGTTGCAGTTATTTATGTCAAGAGGTTTATTCATATGAACTTTTGCAGACAGACTTTGAGTGATACATCTTTATAAAACAACAAGAAATGGCTGCATGAGGATTTATCATGCAAAGTACACATTTCTCTTGCTCAATCCTTATCATCTTACTGATGCTTTGTTTCCACAGCCAGAAATCTTTTGCCCTGGAAAACCCAGAAATATAACTTGCAAAGCTAGTATATAATAATCTGACAACCAAGCAGCAACAGTAGTAAATTAATGATATGGGATGAAACTGCTCTTGTAAGAAGGAACCAATACGTATTTCATAACTGAGCAAAGTCACTAGCAGACAGTAGGGAAAGAGATAATTAAATTATTCCTTAATTCCTTCCATATAAACCATTATCAGGCCAATGGAAAAAGCACATCTGTCAGTCCTTTATATGACTCTCCTGGGTCCTGGAGTGATCTGTCACAGTCACTGCTTATTTAGGAGCATTCAGGATCTCTGTACCCTCCTCTGTGAAATTCTCCTGTATGGATCTCCTTCCTGCAAAGCTCTGCAGAAAGTTTCCTGTTTAGCCTTATATTACACATCTGCTCTGGGGACACAGACATTTGCACCAACAGGAACGTGCAGAGAAGCAACAAACTGCTTTCCCCTCCCTGGATTCTCACAGACGTTGCTATCTCGCAGGTATGTTGGTGATACCCATGTGTGGTGATTGACCTTCATTTTCCATTGCATTCAACAGGACACTCGTGTTTTCCAAGACTCTATTTCTGGCATCTATGACCTAAGGGAGAGTTTTAAAGGACTAGGTGTGACTGATGCTTCCATTAACCATGCTGATCTATCTGGAATTGCTGAGAAAATAATTGCTTTGAAAATGATCATTTGTGGGTCTGATGTAACTGCTGGTCTTAATCTTGTCTGGGAAGACACTTGCACCAGGGTCAGAGGACCTGGTCCTTGGGCGTGGAGAGTAGGGACATCAATAGCTTTCCACTCTCTCCATGACACGCTGAGTGCTGCTGCATGTCCTGGGAGAAATTAGAGGGATAACCATAGAAGCTCCGCTGTTCCCAGCAGTTCCTCCCTGAAAACGGTAACATCCTTCAGATGGTTAGCCAAGCATCAGAAATGGACTGAAAGATTCATGCTATCTAGGCAGGCCTAGACTTGAGAAAAATAGCTTGTCTTCACTAGAATTAAGGAACGGCATACTTGTTTCTGCTGAACCTTTGCCATTTTACATAATACTGCAATAAAATTTCTGGGTACTTGCCCATATCATGAAAAAAACCCTCTGAGGAAATACATTCTGACCAACTCTGTCTCTGTCTTGTAAGAGATAGTAGTTACATAGCAATAACTATGGTGAGTAGATTCCTATGTGTAGATAAAATTGCTAGCTGGGGTGAAATTCATGTACATTCAATGGAAATAATTAGTCATTGTTAATTAGGATGAGTGCCATGTATCTCATCCTTAATTAACCTTCTAAATAGCTAAATTGTACCTGCTACTCTCAGCTTGTTCTGAGAGGGACCCCAGTGTAAGTCACATATAGTATGTATATAAATCATGCCTATCCTATGCATATGTAACAAGGGGTTAAGAAGATCTCCTTTCTTCTCCCCAGCTAATATTTTGCCATGGTAAAGATTGCTTATTTTATTCTTCCATTTGGGTTTTTTTATTTTGGCTATTTTTCAAGGATGTTAATACTTTGCCTTTCATTTTAGTAGTTTCTGAAATACTCATCAAAGGTCTCTCAAAAAACTAACCAGTGCCTACGAGTATCCTTTATCTAATAATTTAATGAGACCTTCAAATAATGCCAGTTGGGGCATACCTGCAGTGAGCACTGCCAGGCAATGTAGAGATAGTGAGCTATTCCTTAACAAACTTGCTGCTGGCTTGGGTACTCAATTAGGTGACAACCTTACATCAGGACATCTAAATACAAAAAACTCAAATGCAGAGAGTTCAGTGAGACACAGCATTCTTTTTATAAACAGACATTGCTTTAGCCCCATCTCAGCTTTCCAGTTCCTCTAATGTTCTGTTTTCTAAAGCTCATTTACCACAATAATGTCAGACTACCTTGCAAAGCTCTTTTGCCCACAGTTTAGTTCAAGCCCAAGAGTAGCAAGGTCCCTGCTCTCTCTCTCCCCTCAGATCCCTAGGTGATGGCATCATTCTCCCTGTATGATGGGAAAACAGACTTATAATGTTTGATGTCCAGAAAAAAAAAATAGCTTACTCAATCTTTGCTTTACAAATAAATCTTATTTGCTCTGTTTAATATTTACCAGCAGACATTAATTTAACACTACCCAGCAAAAATGAATAGGAAAGAAGCACAGTGAAAGAGAGGTCCAGCACTGTAAGTACCATATTACACTTTCTTAGAAGCCTTTGAATTCACATTGTCTGTGATCTCCATCATTTACTGCACTATATTTAATTCTGAGATGAATTTATTTTGTACAGTAATTGGAAATTATTTTCGCTTCTGGAAGCATGTTCAGTCAGTGATCCAGCTGTTAGCTATAGTGGCAGGATGACCAGGAAATAAGGTTCAAAATGAATACTTAACAGTCAATACCAAGGTGATGAATAAGTTGTCTCTGCTCTCAGAGGAGTAGATTTAGTTGCAATCTCGATGTTCTGATTACTCTAGGCTGATGCAGGGCTAATGAGAGTAGCATCCCTGTGTGCCTAAAGACCAGGCTACTTGCAGCCAGGGGGCCTGGGAGAGAAATAAGTGTCTCAAAAGCAGCCTTGGAGAATTACGAAAAGAGTATTTACCAGACCAAAAGGAACTACCTCCATTTAGAATGTCGTCTTTTTTTTGGTTTTGGGTTTTTTTTTTCCAGAGTTAATGCTTTTATCCAGCATTTTAGGCATGCTGAGCACAGCTCCCAAACTCAGCACTTCCACAGCTTGTATCTCCAGTGTTTCATACTGGGCAGACAGAAACGGGGGAATGCAGATTTAACAACTCCCCTTGAAAAGTTTGATGTAAGACCTAAACCTGGCATTAGACACAGAGCCTGAGGCAGACCCTGGAGCAGAATCCCATGCTCCAGAATAAGTATAGAGCTGCTATGAGCAACATTCAGATTGTCTCTACTTTCCTGCAGGCCACTGCCTACTTCATATTTCTGAGCTTCTGTCATTTGAGATAATTTAAGCGAGACACCCTATGGAGAATATTCTCCAGTATAGTTCATGATTCTTTCCCTGAAAAGAGCAGAAGAGAGATTGTGGGATTATGTAGAATTTGCTTATGTCAGTTAATGGAAGAAGAAAGGTCATTGGATTCCACATACAAAGGAGGGCAGATTCCACTATAGCTTTTCCTAAGCTCTTGAGTCTTGGGCTTTGCAACTTTATGGACAGTTTATGTGCAATAGAGAGTGAATAAACTTTCTCGATTTATCCTTAATTTGCTGAAACATTTAAGATGATGTTTTGAAATATTATGGCTCTTGAGTTCCAAGCTGCTACTCAAGAGGCAGAAAGATATAAACAGTTTAAGGAGTGTTTAGATGGATTTTATTCACAGCTATAACAGATGTTATCTCTGTATCACTGCAGTGCTTGAAAACCCAAGTGAGAATAAGACCACGGGTACTACAGAAACATATCAGCAAAAGTCAGTTCCTCTGCCATAGTACTTACCCAATATATGGGGGCTAATAGATGAACTCAACTATGCACCCAAAGGCATGTAGGAATGCAATGAGGCCATGCTGGTCAGAGGCAAGAACTATTACTTCAGGCATAATATCTCACAAAAGCCTACATGACATCAATTCTTCCCTGGTGATGCCACGTTGATGTCTTCCTTCCTTTTCTCTTTGGTCAGACACTGAGAGAACTGACTAGAAATAGGCTATCCAGGAGGCCAAGTAGAAAAGTATTTCTAAATTGAAGAGTAATCCTAAAGACTGACATCTGAAAATCAGTAACTAGAATACAGAAACTATTTTTATGCAGGAAAGATAAAATTCTCCCATTCTAAAAGCTGATTATTCTTTTTTAACAGAATTGTTCAGAAGGAAAATGAAGTCTGCATTTCATCTCTGTTTGTTGTTTCTTGGACTTCAAGCCCAGGGTCAACATAAATCCAGTCTCAATGAACAGCAGGAACAAAAAATACCCCATTTCCCAGAAGACCATTCCCAGGCTGAAGGTGAAAACTTGGCTCATGTCAAGATAGCACCCAGCAATGCTGACTTTGCGTTTAAGTTTTACAAGCAGGTCAGAGACGAGGTGGGCAACAAGAACATTTTCTTCTCTCCTTTGAGCATCTCCACTGCCTTTGCAATGCTTTCGCTGGGAGCCAGATCAAACACACTTCATCAGTTGCACAAAGGCCTCGCCTTCAACCTGACAGAGATGGAGGAGCATGAGATCCATGAGGGATTTCAACGTGTCTTGCAGCTGCTGAATGACCCCCACCGAGAAATCCAGTTGAACATGGGCAATATCCTGTTCATAGATGACCAGCTGAAACTGGTCCAAAAATTTTTGGATGACGTCACAAATTTTTATTATTCTGAAGCTATTTCTAGTAAATTACAGAATTCTGAAGAGGCTGTAAAGGAAATCAATAAGTACATAGAAACAAAAACCCATGGAAAAATTGTTGATTTTCTTAAGAGTCTTGATCATGAATCTGTGATGGTTCTGGTTAACTATATTTTCTTTAAAGGTGAGTGACAAACATAGATAGGAGTTATACACATAAGCTCTGGAAGTTTTATCCAGGTGTAAGAAATATAACTTTTTTCACATTGTGAACCTATGCTATCATCTAATGTAAAATATGGCTTTCTACTTTTAAGGAAATTTTTGAATTTAATCTACTATTTAAGGAAATATTTGAAAGCCAGATATGAAGAATAATTTTTCTGTATGAGTTAAAAAAAAAAGAAAGAAAAAAATCAACTCATAGAAATACTGATCAATGTCATATCAATTTTAAAGAGATTCAGAGCTGAAAATATTCAGAAAGGATGAGTGTGTCAGCTTATGATCATTTGTTGAAAGGTATAGGCGTTTGGGTGTGCAGGAGGTGGTCAAACATGGATGACACTTGTATGAAAGGAATAAGCCTGTGTAGTGGCAGTCTGTGGAAGTTTTACAATTGCATTAGCAGGCAAAGGCTCTTTTCCATGATCTCAGCCCATATTATTCGTATGTGATTTTTATTAGAACCATTGAAATGATGTAGAGCTTCATTCCATGGCCAGGGAACAAGCATCCTTAAACTGAGATAGGACTGTTGTTACTTTTACAGTTCAAATACAGCGTTTTAAGCATCAACTAATGTGACATGTCTTTATTAGTCCCTTTTTCAATTTATTCAATTCTATACCTATTCTTTTGTTAAAAGGCTACTGGGAAAAACCTTTCAACAATTTAGCTACCAGAGACGATGACTTCTTGTTGGATACCAAGAATTCTGTTAAGGTCAAAATGATGCATCAAAACAAAGCCTTTAATATCCATAGGGATGAGAAGTTGTCTTGCTGGGTAGTAGAAATCCCATACAAAGGAAACGCTACTTCATTGTTTGTTCTGCCTGATGAAGGGACAATGAAGCAGGTGGAGGACTCTCTGCTAAAAGAAACAGTGTCTAACTGGATGCAATCACTTGAAAAAAGGTAATCTTTTAACTGCTGCTTTGTTTAAATATTGAACAGGCTGCAACTACTCATCCAGGCAAAGTAAAGCTTAGGATGCCACAACGAGTTGCTAAGCAACTCTGAGAAGCAAATATTGCACAGGTTTTTTTAACAAGGTATCAGGTGATTTTGTAGGAAAGGGGAACGCTCTCCTCAGATCCCCCTGTCACAGCAGCGGGAGCGCTACCAGCTGTGAGGATCCTGCACATGGGTACATTGCCCTCAGGAGCCTGTTTTGAGTAGGAAGAATCCAGTTCAAAAGAAAATTTATTTTTCTCCAGTCTGGATGATACTTTCTAGCCAGCCACTTTCATAAATCAGCGCTCTGTCCCTGCACCACTGCGGCTGGTGGGACAGGTATTTCAATTTCTGCTTCTCTAACATAGGATTTATCACTGTTTTAGAAAGCTAAGCCTTAGCTCCACAGGTATTTGGGATGGGTGTATATCTGCAGCAGCTACTGCACCAAGGGATCTTTCCATAATAAACTCACATTTTTCACTTATTTTTGAAAAGAAAAATCTACTTGGATCTTCCAAAATTCTCCATCTCTGGTTCCTATGATGTTAAGAACCTGTTTAAGAAAATGGGTGTGACAGATGTGTTCAGTGTCCAGGCTGATCTCTCCAAAGTGGCAGAAAATACTCATCTGAAGGTTTCCAAAGTAAGTATGCAAACAGAAGTGGTAATGAAGTGTTTAGTATGTCTTGCTTGCATGTGGGTTTTGCCTCTGCAAATAGGCTGATCCCACTTCTGGAGTCTAGTCATGGCTTATTGATGGTAACATAGGAAGGAAAATGTTAGGCATTAAATGGCTGTTGTTCCTACAGTTTAATATAAAATTTTTTACCGCATAGCAATCCTGCTAATTCACTTGAAAGTCTCTGAAGAAGAAAACAGATCTAGAAAGGATAACAGAAACAATTTCACAAGAAGCTGGTGTAAAATAATCAATGTATGATGAGAGCCATAGCTGTGATATAAGTTTGGGAATAGTCATTCTTATCCTATGTATACACCTTTCATTACTGCATTATCTGAGCACCTCAGAACTTATATGGACAACAGACTTGTGGGACAAGGATAGCCCCATTTCACAAACAAGAAGCCAATACACATGTAAGTGATTTCCCTGGTGTCTGAGGGAATATATGCCTTGCGTCATGAGGAAGTGATCCTTCCCCTGTATTCTGCACTTGTGAGACCACCTCTGGAGTACTGCACATCCAGTCTGGGGTTCTCCAATGCAAGAGATATGTGGGCATACTGGAGCAGAGGAGTCCAGTGGAGGGTGAGCAGGACAGCCTCATGGCTGGAGCATGGGATGTATGAGAAGAGGTTGGGAGACCTGAAGTTTTTCAGCCAGAAGGGAAGGAGAAGGGGGGTTCTTAGTGCTGGCTACAGATACATATTAGGAGGGTGCAGAGAAGATGGACCCAGACTCTTCTTGCAGGTGTACAGTAATTCGACAAGAGACAATGCACACAAGTTAGAAAATGGGAAATTCTCATCAGATATTATGTAAAAAAATTCACCATGAGGGTGATCAAAAACTAGGATGGGTTGTTTAAAGAGGCTGTGAAATTTCCATCCTTGGAAATACTCAAACCCTGACTGGATGAGACCCTGTGCAACATTATCTAGTGTCAGAGCTGACACAGTGCAGGGTGGTTGGTTGCATTAGATGAACTGTAGAGGTCCTTCCAACCTATATTATTTAATGACATTGTGATTCCTCACACTGAATAATACCTTATTCCACATGTAAACACCTGGATTACAGATATAAAACAAGTGAATAGAGGAAGGATAGCAGGACCTCATGAGAGGAAATTTCTGATGTGTTATGGACAATGAACAAACACTAGGGACTGGCCAAAGACAATGAAATAAGATCACATGAATTCAGAAATATGAATTTGCCATACCTACCATAGAAAGCCCTGTAAAGTCAAGTCATATCAGTGGGCTGTATTACAGAAAGACACCCTATAAAACTTGTCACTATTGTGTCTTTGCTGAAAGAATTCTTTTGCATACACAGAAAAAGATGAAAAACGAAAACTTTCTTCTTTTGTGTTAAATGCTAAGGACAAAATGAGAAACAACAGAACAATAAAGGTTCTCTATGCTGCTCAGTTTCTGCAAGCAGCCAAATTTGATTCTCTGAGTGCTGAGGAAAACCCTCCCTGAATTCAGAGCAAACTTTGCTTGTCTTGGACAACAGTTCTACACTCATTCTGTACTTTCTTTTAAGAATTACCTTCTCACGGTGTTAAAGCAAGCAAGTTTGTCCACAGCTACTTCTACTCTTTAGATTATTTAGATCTTAATCTTTGCTTCCCTTGCAGGCAATGCACAAAGCCATGGTGGATGTTAGTGAGAATGGCACAGAGGCTGCTGCAGTGACCGTAATAGAAGTGGTACCAATGTCTGCACTGTTTCCTCCTCCTCCTCATATCAAATTCAACAGACCTTTCCTGATGCTGATTTTTGACAAAATCAGCCACAGCATCCTCTTCATGGGAAAAGTTGTCAACCCAGCTGTCAAGGAAAACTAAGCCAGACCACTTATACTCCCCAGTGCAGAGATCGCTTGTGCATATTCCAGGGACTTTGCAAAAAGGGACAAGAATTGATCCATAATTAACAAATAAATAAATATTACATGAAGTAATTATTCACTTACACACAGTTGGAGACAAGCATGAGTGAGCCATGTTTCCAAAACGACCCAGGCCAAATAGGCAGCCATGAGATCTTCAACAGATAAATGTTTTCCTACCTCACTCAATCATCACTGGTGCCGTTGTCCCTTGCATGAAGATAAACGTTCCTATTCCTCGCTGAGAAACAACCTAAGTCTCCCATTTCCTGCATATCAAGTCCTCAGCTCAAAAGCCACAAATCTTTCCCCTTCAGCTGAGAAACCATCCTTTCCTTTCCTCTCATTTCACTGTGAATCACAAGAGAAATCTCCATCTTTGAAGTCCTTCCAGGGCTCAGTGGCTAAGAAGGGAAACAAACACAGACCTGTTAAATCTTTCCTCTCCTAGATGGTGGATGCTCCTGGGTAAAGGATAATCCTTTCCAAGGATATTTCCTTGACAGCTGCCTCCTAGCACCCTAAACCCTTGCTCCCATCTCCATTCCTCATGATTTGCTCCAGAGTAAGGGGCCAACTTTTCTGGCAGGGCAAGAATTTAGCTTCTGTGTCAGTGAAAGCCACACATCATTGCTCAGGTGGTCATCCTTTATAGTCTTGTGTATGTACAGTAAAGCCTGGTGGTAAAGAAGTTGGTGTTACCAGCAGCATGATGTGAATGGAGAACTGTGCTGCAGCAGATTAATTTAATTTATTGCCAATTAAAAATAGAGTAGGATCATAATAAACAAAGACATAATTAAAAACACCTTTCTCCCATCCCTCCTGTCTTCCCAGGCTCAATTTCACTCCTAACTCCTCTACCTCCTCCCCCTAAGAAGCGCAGGGGAAGGGGGAATGGGGGTATGGAGATATGGTGGTCACTGTCAGTTTATAATGCTTCATTCTCTGCTGCTCCTTCCTCCTCACAATCTTCCCCTGCTCCAGCCTGATGTTCCCCCCACAGGTGACAGTCCTTCACAAACCTCTCCAGCATGGGTCTTTCCTAGAGGGTACAGTCTGTCAGGAACAGATTTCCTCAGTATGGACTCATCTCCTTGGGGCCACAGATCCTGTCAGGATCCTGCTCCAGCTGCAGCTTCCTTCAGGGCACAACCACTTGCTCTGCTGTGGGGTCCTCCATGGGCAGCACTGTGCATATCTGTTCCACCACGGTCCTGCATGGGCTGCAGGGGCACAGCTGCCTCACCATGCTCTTCTCCAGGGGCTGCAGGGGAATCTCTGCTCAGGCACCTGGAGTAACTCCTCCCCGCCTTCTTCCCTGACCTGTGTGTCTGCAGGGATGTTTCTCTCACACGTTTTTTTTATTCCTCCCTCTCACAGCTGCTGCATATCATTTTTTACTATTTCTTAAATACACTTTCTCAGAGGCACCATCATCTTGGTTGAGGGGCTCAGTCATGTCCCGTGGTGGGTCTGGACCCAGCGATGTCCACACGGGGCAGCCCCAGCCTCTCCTCACAGAGGCCGCCCTGCCAGCACCTCTGCGCAGGCACCTGATAACGGAAACACAATCCGAAAATAGTATCAAGTTCAGTAAGAGGAACGATGTTTAATGGACGGGTAAAACGCTTTGACGGTGCTAATGAACTGTCAGGAGCTGCCATTAGGATTCCTTCACAGTTTCCTCTCAGCCTCAAGGACTGGTGGGCCTCCAGGCACTCGGCAAAATGCAGCCTGAGCTAAGCAACCTCCTCCCAACATTTCCAGCCTCAGCTCCGCTTTCCACCTGAGGAGGGGCAGGAATCACAGCTTTACCTGAGAGGGCCTGGGGCTCCCTGCCACTGCTGGAGGGGTTTGGCTCCTGGCTAGGATGAATCAGAAATACTAAATGCTTCTGCTGTTGTGGCTTGGTTTGGAAAAGCCTTGACAGGTCATACGGATGGGAGAAAACCATAGTGTGCATATTTGCAGTGAGACATAATAAGGCCTTTCATGTGGGCAAGCACAGACCTCTTCCCAGACCTATGGGCAAAAAAACCCAACTCTAGGCAACCTATTAATACAGACGTAAAGATTTCCACCATGAAAAATATTTTCTCTGTAATCATCCCCTTGTCTCCAGATTTTAAAGAAAGAAAATCAGTAATGCTTGAAAACTGCTCTATGGAAAACCTTAGTCAGCTATCCCTGCCTAACTGATGTTCTCTCTCAGGAAAATAAAATAAATTGTTTCAGCAGTGCTTGAGGGGGTGAACCTCTGCTGCTGGAGCCAAGCCAAGGATTTCAGCTCTGCACAGGGCTGCTAAACTGCAAGTCTCTTTATCCACAGCTACTAATACAGCTTGCACAGTCATTGCTCCCCTGCTTTGGGAGTGTTGAGGTTTAGATGAACAGTTAACTGTGCACTATTTGGGACATGTTAGAGGGAAGGCAAGAATGAGAGTAAAGAGGAAACTGTTGATATTACTTCATTTCTTCCCTCCCTCTCTGCCCGCTCCTGGAAAATGAAAACCAGGAACAACACTAGTCTTTTTGTTCAGTTGTAAATATTACATATCTGAAACAGAAACCTTTATAAAAATTCTTGATTATCTTCTTATCAGAACTGTGAGATTTTCTTAATGAAAATAATGCAAGTTCACTTGGTGCCCTATGGGTTAAAGGCAGTTATTTGAGGGTGGAAAAATTATTTCAGTTGATAGTTCCCAGCTATGCTTTTGCAACTTCCCTACAACTGCAAATAAGAACAACCACTCAAAAAAATTTTAAAAGGCAGGCCAATGATTTCTCAAATAAGCAGTTAAGTTCAAAGACTGTTGAATATTTATATGGGTTTTGGAAAGAGGCTTAAAGAGTTGGAAGAAAGCAGGAGCGTTGAGCTGGTTTGCTCAGGAATTTTCGCTCCATGGAAGAACTAGGGGGAGTACAGCAAGAACAGGATGATTTAACAGAACAAGTGAAAACTTTATAGATGTTCAGAAACACTGCCATAAAACCAAAGGCAGCACAGTGGCCCAGCCATAGATACCCTGAATCAGCTCTTGCTGAAACTGAAATTCTACCAAGAGGAAAACATATCACCCTGGGCCAAGGTACCACTAGCAAACAGTAAAGCCCTCACATTTTTGGGAGCAACATGGAAAGAAGAGGGGTAGGAAGAGTCAAATCTCTCTGATCAGGATGAGGAACTCTTGGCCATACATCAACATTGATGGTCCTCACATTTAAGACATACGGACCCAAGAGAGAGAAATCTTGGAGCCACATGGAATGGACTGCCGACATGCTGTGTCCCCGTGTTATGAGGGGATAACTAGCCTCACCTCATCCTCCACCAGCACAGTGCCTGCAGGTAATTAACTAAAAACCAAGGATATGGATTTTGATCCTTGATGACTTCCCTTGTTAACAGAAACAGTAGCATCGCTCCCTACCACACAGGAATACTGGGCATGCAGGATCTGTAAGCACAATGAGGGGTAAAACTAGACTGCATAAACTTTACAATGTTTTGCCTCCATTTCGCATAGATTTTAACAAACTGATTTCTCCATGCTTTCATTAGTCACCTATGGTGTCAAGGCTCGATCTGAGAAGACAGGCATTACTGAAGTGCTCGGAGACAGCAGTGCTGTTGCTGGAGTCACAGGGAGCCTGACCTGGCATTGCCTGCAGTCAGCCATAAGTGGGGATGGAGATTAACTGAGCAGCGGTTATGTTTGGTATTTTCAAACAGTCTGACCTGGCATCCAGCAAAATTAAGGTTTATGAGCAGCAATAGGGAATGTTCCAGACAGCAAACTGGCAGATTTGAAAAGTAACATATTACACTTCAAAGTTACCGTGAGCTCAAAGTTACTAATTTCTCTGAAATGCACCTATTGAAATAATAACCATAAATAGCCATCAAATCAGAAAGGGTCAGGAAAAAAACCCATGTTTGTATCAAAGGGGCACCACTGGTCTTTTTAGTCTTTTAAAACTGTAACTATTGCTAGCTCTGTTAATGTTTTCCATGAAATCTGTTAGTCCTCATTTGTAAATCTGAGAGTCTTTAGGCAAGTGCATCACATTTTCATCAAAATTTTACATGCCTACATGCTGTGTGGAAGTCAATGGGAGGTGTAGATACATATCGACTGTCTGTACTGCAGGTGGGATTGATTTAAGTATTTAAATATGGCTCTGAAAAAGGAAACAGAAATCCACAACTTCTGTCTAATTTAGGAGCACAGCCACTCTTCCCAAACATCTGCAGGGTCTGTGACATTCACACACAGTGCCTTTGCACTTATCTTTGTTCAACTTCCATTCAAGAACAAAGTGCCCAAAACTGAGCACTATCTGTTCTGTTCTGTGAGGGACAGTCTGCAATCCTGGACATTCACCTTAAGATCTAAAAAAATCAATAGCTGAAGTGTTGTGACTGTTCAGAAAGTGGCCAAGCTAATGAAGCAGTTCACATGGAAGAAATAAGCTCCTTCCCACAATAACAGATGGCATTAGACCAAGCTTGAGAAGCTGGTTCCCCAGATGTCCCTGCTCCCCTATCTGCAGCCCTGTTGAGGTCCACATGTGCACATGGATGGGAAAGGGAGAAAACAGCATCAGGATTCATTCTGCCCGGCAGGATTAATTTTGAACAATTTAATTTCCCATCTTGCAGGTTGTTTGGTGTAAGGATTTTTGGTAGTCCATAAGGGTTGTAGGTGGAGGTGAGTTGTGTGAAAGTCTTCTCATAACTTTCAAATTACTTGGATGACATCAACAACTCTAAACTAAAAAAAAAGTATCTTAAATAAAAACTTTGAATGCTTGTCACTTTCCCATCTATGTCCCTATCTCTTGAATTCCCTGTGATATTACAGAAGGAAAGTAAATTAGATATAAGCTGAACATGAGCCAGCTCTTTGGCTCAGCCACTGAAGCACATATTGTAAGGGTTTAGGGCAA